ATGTTAAAAAAAAAGTCATTGATGTATTCGGCTTTTGAAAAGTTGTCTGTAATGATTACATCATTGTTTTCGTCTATAATTGGTCCAATCGGCTTGGCTTTATGTTTTCTAAGGACCTGATTAGTTAGTTTCCAAAAGTCTTTTGGGTTCTTTGACTCGTTGAACTTGCTATGCCAATAGCTGGACTCAGCATTCCTTAGAAGCTTTTTCACTTCATTTCTCTTATTTCTGTATTGTAACCACTTTACTTGATCTCCTCCTGACGCCTTGGCATTTTTCAATGATTTGTATCTAAGGTTCATTTGCTTCCTGATTGATGAGTTTATCCAAGGTAGGGATTTATCTTTCACTTTAACTTCTCTAACCGGGAGATTTCGATTCAAAACATTGTTATATAGGTAGTTCCAGGTATACTTGTACATACGTATGTATGTACAAGTCTTGTTTGGTTCTTCCGCTGCTACTTGCCTGCTTGCTTAATCTGAAATTTCACTTTTAGCTAACGAAAAAAAGCTAGACGAAGTACAGATGGCATAAGAGCTTTTTCTCCATGATCTATACCCTGATAGAGCACGCCCTTTCAACAAATAACAGCGCGCGTTATATCCGAACTTTTACTATAATTGTCAGTAAAAGTGATTGCTTAGTTAATAGAGTGCTTTGATCCCGCGCAAAAAAAGGTGCGTAACTTTTGCACATCTCGGCGATGAAGTCGCATAAAGCGGTGACCCTCGCGGGTTTATTGTGCTACAAACAGTTGGCTTTCTTTCCCGGCTCTTGAAATAAACAAGTCAATCCTTGATTCTTATTGAAGCGAAATATTTTTGCTATATAGTGAATCCTTTTTTGACCAAGCTTGTTCGTCTCAGTCCATGAAAACGTAAAAAAGGAACTCTGCCAATATCCAGCCATCTTGACCTCACGCTCGGTGAACAAACAGAACAAACCATATGTATTGACCCCACCCGCGAGAGTAAGCATTTGGGAACAGGGTAACCGCGTTGCGTGACACACGACTCCACCTCCGAGGAGATAAGAATAGCGTTATTTTAAACACGCTTAGCCCTCGTTTATCATTGTTATGGATACCGACGAGATCCTGGAAGAAATAGGAAGTTATGGACTCTTTCAAAAGCGAAATTCTTTAATTCTTGGCCTCATAATTTTCGTGCTGACCTTCCAAACGGTCTCCATGGTGTTCATCGGAGGTGAACCAAGATGGCGTTGCAAAGCAAACAGCCCTATTTGTACACAGAATGAAACATTGAGCCCATACGACGACTTTTACGAAGCCAGATGCAACATGAGTACTGACGACTGGGAGTTTACCACTGAGTTTACATCCATCATCACTGAGGTAGGCCTGTTGTTTCGCTCGACATTTGGACAGCTGTTTCGTGGTCAAACTTATAATTCCCGTGCAAAGTCTGACCTGGATAATTTGTCTACAAGAGCCTGTGGGGTCTGTGTTCAGATAAACAATGGTGGAGAATCTGAGCATTCTACATTTGAGCAATGCCCTTGAAAACATGGTATGATGCCGAAAACTATGCTCCAAATTTTCAATGCGCTCAATTTGACAAAAGGAGCTTTCAAGAGCTACTCAACACCCCCCCCTCCCTTCAATTCCTACCATGAGCAGGTGAAAAATGCTAAGATTAACAAGCTTACCGAAGTTCAGAACACAAAATTTTGCTGTATTAAATTCCTTAATTGCATGCACGAAAAGCAGGCTCACTGTTTACATTACTCAGGCTACAGATTTCACCTTTTATTGAACTGTGACATCAATGGGAGTTTTTTAAAGTCTACTCATAATGCTGCCACCATGCCTACTGCTCAGATTATAGAATTATGCCCAAAATTATGCTGACATAATTTATCTGACCTTCGGTCTTACCTGCCTTGAGGCTAAGTTTCTAATAGTGAGAAGGGGAAATTGGGGTGGTTCTCTGGAAATTGAAGTGGGGGGGGTGGGGTAGGGTGTATGACATGCTTCAAAGTATACACCCATGGGTCTTTGATATAGTTAAAGAAACTCTGGATTCTGCATCATAGTTGGAGGTGTGCTGTTAATGAACTCTTTGAACACCAAGATCTCAATGGCAAGTTTATCTATTGTCTATTATACTTTTCTTGCAATGTTTAGTCCAAATAATTTGCTGTTGTAAGGAGAAACTTTTTCTCAGTTGCTCATTGGAGTGAAAAAGTTTATCAGTAAACTTTTTGCATCTCACCTTATTTACTGGATACACATTACTTTTTCCACAAACAATGAACATGATATAGCTTGTTGTTCGTTTTGGAAAACTGTAAAATAATGCTTCATGATATAGTTTGGATATATCAACAAAGTTGAAATGGTAAATTGGCCATTGTAACGATTACAAAAGCTGATGTTTCGAGCGTTAGCCTTTCGTTGGAGCAAATTCATGATATAGGTTAGCCCAGCATGCTAATGGACAGCCAGATAGATGTTCAGGTGGTCTTTAACCCTTTGCAGCAATAGACTTTCTTAAAAGGCATCATTGTTTCGTTCATGTTTCTTTTTTTTTTTTACTCAAGTGGAATCTGATTTGTGGAGGGGAATATTATGCCAGCCTGTCACAATCCATACTGTTTATTGGGTGGATTCCAGGAGCATTTATTATTGGAAGACTGTCTGACCAGTTTGGTCGCAAACAAGTTCTTTTTCCTGCTGTTTTTTTTGTCACTGCTACTTCACTGGCAAGTTCCTTTGTTCCTGTTTTATGGTAAATACCGGTAATATGAATTCATAGCTACAGCTGATTAAAAAATCAAACCGTTTTGACCCCTAGGAGTGACTAATGCATCTAATTTCTCTTTACAATATCATCCCTGAATCAAACATTAAGGTCAGGAGAATAGGGAAATGATCAGCATAAGAGTGACCAGGATCTAATTTCTTCTTACAATATCATCCTTGAATCAAACATTAAAGTCAGAAGAATAAAGAAAATAAACACCAACTGAAGAAGCACTTGATTGTCAAAAAAAATTCACCCTAGCAGCACTTCAGGAAATGTAAAGAGAACAGTACGGATGATATGTATACTGATGTTAGGGTGTAATATACATTTTCATGTAGATCATACTTGATGCACAGGGTCTAGGTGGTCTTAGCTCTGATTGGACTCCTATGTCGTAACCATCACTGTAATTAAACTATTAGCGATTTTATAATATTGTATATATAATATTGTATTATAATATTATATATATATTGATTTTTCTTCTCATATAACATTTTTTTTTCCTCAGGCTGTTTTTGACTCTAAGGGGAATAACAGGGTTCTTTCAAGGGGGGGTTTATATAACCCTCTATGTACTCACAACAGAGTTTGTTGGACCGAAACACCGAAGTATAGCTGGGACAGTGGTTTGGATTTTCTACACTTCTTCACTGATTATCCTGAGTGGATTGGCATATGGAATACGTGAATGGAGAACTCTTTCAATTGTTATATCAGCTCCTGGATTTGTACTATTAATATTATGGAGGTGAGGAAATAACATGGTCAGGTAAGGGTGAAGTTATTTTAAAAACCTGTTGTGTTGTAGGGTTTGGCCTGGAGAAGCACTGGAGCATGGGTGCCAATAAGATATCTGAGATGAGAGAATTCTCTGGCTACTTGGTAGAATTGACTGTTAAGTTACTACATGTTACTCCACCTTATTTTTTTCTGATGCATTTCGACAGATGGGAATCTGATTTGAAAACCACACACTCAAGACCAGTCCTGAATTTTTTCTGCACCAGTCAAGGCAAAGCATAAAGAAGCAAACCAGCAGAAAAAAATGAGTATTAAGTTATTATAAGTTATAAATGAGTGTATTTATAACCTGAGTGTGTGGAATACCTGTGTCAGGCCCCAGATGTGTTTTGGAAAATGTGGAAGGTAATGAAATTCTATAGTATCATTTTCCAGGTCTGATAAGCTTTGAAATTTGGGTGTGGATCATGGAAAGTCATTGAAAATTACCTAGAATGATATTTTTTAGAACTGCAAGAAAAAAATTATTTGTGGGCCGTGGAAAATATCAAAGATGTCATGAAAATGCTTCTGAAAAATATGAACCTTGAAATTTTCTTTTGGAATGTTTTATCTTGAAGGTGGGTGCCTGAATCTTGTCGATGGCTAATAGTTCACAACAGAATGAGTGAAGCAAGGAAGGTGTTTTCATTGATTGCTACCATAAATAATAAACAACTTCCCACTGAGAAACTTACACTTGCAGAGAATAATCACGACGCTGTAGAGGAAGGTGGATTTTTGGATTTGGTTCATACCAGGGCCCAGGGTTTAAGGACTGCTATTCTTTGGTTTGCATGGTAAGCATTGTTGACATTTCTTTTAAAAAATAGTCACATAAATAATTCAAGCTACTATAAAACCCTAGATGAAAGACTCTCAAGGCCCAGATTCAATGCTTCTACTTCCATGACATATCATCCATAGCCAGTCCTTGTTACTTTCAATAGTTATGTTTCCAGGACAACTCTTGCCCGAAAAATAAACTGAGCAAGGCCCATTCCTACTTTCAATTAAGATTTTATTGTACAGGATGTTTGTAGTAGACCATGTTTATTTTAAAAATTTGCTTGAGTGTCATGGTAGTACAGATATGGAAATTAGCCACATGCTTGTGCTTCTCACTGAAGTTAAACCGTGTTGGCTGGGGTTACAACTTGAATGGGTGACTGAAAATAAGTCATTAATGTATCAAATAATTGTCAGGTTTACTAATTCCATGGTTTATTATGGAGTACTGCTGAGTGTTGGAGTGCTGGGTGGAAGTCTTTACCTGAATTTTTTCCTCACAAGTGCCATTGATATTCCTAGCAACTTTTTTGTTATTTGGTTCATGAGTTGGTAAGTTTCTGTTAATTATTAGTGGGGTAGGGTTGGGAGTAGGGAAGGGGAGAAATCAGCCATATCGGCAGTGACAAATTTCTTTGTCATTTTCAGAGGGGGGTGACTGTTTATAAGTAAGTTTTTGTAGACCTGATGGGCAGTCCATTTTTGTAGTGTAATTTGTTGTGTTAGTCGGCAGAAATCAGGGAAATAGGATATCTCAATGTGGCTAAAACTGTTCATAGTCTGTGATAATTGTTAATCAAGGACTAATTCTGAAATTGGTTTTTTGGCAAACAAAAATGCAAAAATATAAATTGTAGATCTACCAGTCAGCCTGTATGTTAATAGGCAATCAGCAGCAGGCAGCTGGCAAGTTGGAAGGTTGAGTAGTGGCTCGGTGGATGAGTAGGTCACCATGCCTGTCATTTAGGTGTTTTATCAGTCAGTCAGTGAGTCAGTCAGTCCATCAATCAGTCCATCACTATGTCAGTCAGTTGGTCAATCAGTCTGTCAGTCAGTCGATCAAGAAATCAGTCAGTCAGTTAGTCAGTCACTCAATCAGTCAGTCATTCATCCATCCATTCTCTCTTTCATTCTGCTTGTCATTCAATTAAAGATGAAAGTAATCAATCAATCAGTGCATCAACATCTCAGTCAGTGAATAATCAAGAGATCTTTTAGTAGGTGTTAAGAGTGTTTCATGGTGGTTGTGTGGGTTGGCAGTTAATCAGAGAGTTACCATTTAATTAAAGTAAGTTCCCCCTGTCTCAGGTATAGTGAAAAACACTTATTGCTTCAGTTTCACATCACCTACTATAAAGTGACAAGTGAGGTATAGTGTTTTTTTGTTTTGTTCAATTCCAGGGAAAAAGGAATGTTTTGTAAAAGTTTTTATGGTAGAAAAAGAGCTTTAATCCTTTGTATGAACCTGGCAGCAGTGTTCTGTATCACTGTATCCCTTATTCCTCCAGAATCTGATCCAGGTGAGGGAATTGTAGAATTAAATTGTAAACCTTCCCATTTGCTTACCAAGTGTAACTACTGAGTGACCAATCCAGTTACAGAAAATGTGAAGTAAATTACATCTAAGTTTTAAGCCATCATCACCCACTTTGGTCTGAAGCTCTGATTGATCAAACTGAATGTGCCTGAAATCATTGCTGGTTACTCCTATGACGTGGTGGTTGAAATTTTTTTAAGAGACCATAGCTGTAACAGTCTTAAGCATTGTAATTTAAATAAGCGTGTTTTTGTTAATCTAGTTTAATGTTTGTCATCCAAAATTTTTTATTTTGTGAAAAGGTTTTTTTTTTTTGCAATCAAGTTAGTGCATAGGTAGGGTTACCAAATGGTTAGTGGCATTGTACTTGATTTCTGGATTTCCCAGGCTTAAATACTCCACATCTTGCCACTCAGTTTGATTCATTTTCTTGATAACATATCTGTTGATTGCACTATGTTGTAACAAGTTGAGTTATGTTGAATATACTTCTATTTAGGTACCACAGCTGCACGTGTCATTTTCACAGTCCTTGGAAAGTTCTGCATCAATGCATCATTCAGCACAATTTACATTTTCTCTACAGAGCTCCTTCCCACAGTCATCAGGTTTACTGGAATTTTTTTTTCATTCTTTTTTCTGAAAACATTGGAAAATTGAATTGCATAGTGAACAGAGAGGAAAAGAATAGAGGGGTTTGACATTGTGGAATTCTTAAGTCAAGTGGAAGATTTTGAAGGGCGGTTGCTCACATCTAGATATAGTTTAATGTATTCAATTTTTCTGTGGTGCGATAAAAGGGATGGCTCTGGTTAAACAATCCAATAAAAAATCTAAATTATTATGAATACCATAAATCCTCTAATAAGCTCCACAGGAGGCTCATTTATTTCAGGTACTTTGGGGGGTGGCTTATTAGAGGAGGGGCTTAATAGAGGGGCTTAATAGAGGGGGGCTGATTGATTTAGCCCAATGTTCACTACCAGGATACAATAGGACATGATATACCTTATCAGTAAAGTCTGATGAGTTGTATGATTTGTCATAATCATCTCGTAAATCAGTAAAGCAGAAACACACCAAAATGGCAAACTAAAGTCAAATGAACAACAATAATGAAATGCTTCATCATACTAGTACTACTTAATAGAGGGGTGGGCCTTAATAAATTATAAATTTCTTCCTCTAGAGAAGGGGGCTTATTAGAGGGGGTTGGCTTATTAGAGGGAGGGGCTTAATAAATTTCTTTCTCTAAAGAGGAGGGGACTTATTAGAGGGGGGTGGCTTATTAGAGGGAGGGGCTTAATAAATTTCTTCCTCTAAAGAGGAGAGGACTTATTAGAGGGGGGTGGCTTATTAGAGGGAGGGGCTTAATAAATTTCTCTCTCTAAAGAGGAGGGGACTTATTAGAGGGGGGTGGCTTATTAGAGGGAGGGGCTTAATAAATTTCTTTCTCTAAAGAGGAGGGGACTTATTAGAGGGGGGTGGCTTATTAGAGGGAGGGGCTTAATAAATTTCTTCCTCTAAAGAGGAGAGGACTTATTAGAGGGGGGTGGCTTATTAGAGGGAGGGGCTTAATAAATTTCTTTCTCTAAAGAGGAGGGGACTTATTAGAGGGGGGTGGCTTATTAGAGGGGGTGGCTTATTAGAGGGAGGGGCTTAATAAATTTCTTTCTCTTAAGAGGAGGGGACTTATTAGAGGGGTGGCTTATTAGAGGGAGGGGCTTAATAAATTTCTTTCTCTAAAGAGGAGGGGACTTATTAGAGGGGGGCTTCATAGAGTATTTACAGTAAATATGTTTCCTTTGAAAGAAGTAATTTAAAATAATGAAAAAATTAAAATCTGAGACCTGTCCTAGCTTAAACTGTTGTTCTTGAGCAGACAACTATCAGAAATAGCTATCAAGTTGAGAAAAGAAATAATCGAAAAAAGTATTTGATTAAATCAACACTTTTACCGTTATTTTTAGGACACATGAGGACGTAACAGTCAGTGCACTGAACTCCGGATATAGAGGTGTGGGTTTGGGACTTAGTAGGGACCTTGTGTTGTGTTCCTCACCCCCCCCCCGATATAAATATATAAATGGGTGTCGGCGAACTGTCAGGGTAGCCTGAAGAGATACGTGGAAGGGGGTGAGCAACCTTGTGATGGAATGACATCCCATCGGGGGGGGGGAAGTAGTAATACTCCTAATTGCTTCACACTACAGAGACTGGGTTAAACTTCAGTTGGATGGATCACTAGGGTCCAGTGTAGACATAACTTTTTTTGCTTTATTCTCACTAGGAATGTGGGAATGGGAAGTATGGCTGCATTTGATCAGATTGGTGCTAGCATCGCTCCATTTGTGGTTTTACTGGTGAGTAGAACTTCAAGTAACGTTGAGTCAACTCGCACCAAAGTGCAAAATTTACTCTTTGACTTCTTATATGAAAGTATGTGAGTAATTTCTAAAGGAGAGTCAAAAGTAATCTGCTTGTGCATTTGTTTTTCTTTACTTTACCTTGTGATTGGTTCAGTAAAATCTTGCCACCACCCAAATTATTCACTGATGCAAAACAAAGCCCAATCTGCGTGATCTGGTCACTTGTGCGGTTTTCCTGCTCGTTTATCTTTTCACACTTAGTTAGGTCAAGCTCCCATTTCGCCTTCTTCTTGATTTTTTGTTTGTTCTGATTGGTTTTTGTGATTTTTTTTTTCGGTTTCATGACGCTCAGTCGAAGAGCGCTCGTGTTTTGTTTTCATCACACCATCTTCCTCTTTTTCTTCGGTGTAGTTAACACTTTTTCGTGATACAGAGTCTGCAAGCAATGTGTTAGAAATTAGCAGTCGTGCGCCCATCCGTTCACGCGGATGTCGAAAGCGTTAAGTGGCAATTCAGTAAGATCTTAAGTCCCCTATATGAGGGTCAACTCGGCCGCATTTATTCAAAGAACCCTCTTTTTACTGTTTAATTTTGCAAGGAGAACTTGAACACATGCTTACAGTTTTGAATTGAAATCGCACATAGATGTATACAGTTTTCCTAATAAAAATAAAGGATCTTAACTTCTTTTCAGTGTCTGCGACCCTTGTTTCGGGCTTTGTTTATGTTGAAAAGGTTCCGAGAGGGAAGGTGTCTTATCCTACGGCTATTTTCCATGCGCGAGTTACAACCGGTCCGAACAAGTACATTCTGAAAGGACTGAGAGTGGTTCTCTTGTGTCCTTGCGGTGTCTCTCTAAATTACTGGGGACTTTAAGCAAACCACGACGGCGACGGCAACGAGAACGTGGAAAAACAATAGATCTAATTGGCAGAACAATAGCCCAGCACGTGCGTTTTAAAACTTTGTACATTTCTTAGCCGTCCTTTACAAAACAACAACTTGAAATCACCAAAATTTGCGTCGTCTGCGAAGCGAAACCGCGACGGCAAATTATTTTAATTTACATTTGGAACTCAACGCTACTTTTATGCGTTATGTTGAGTTTGAGGTCTGGCGCCGCCCTATGAGACGGTAAACACATGCAGCCATTTTCGAAATTCTAACTAAAAGTAGAAACTCATTTTTTAATCGACGTCTTCCGTGCCGTTGCCGTCCTGACTGCTTAAAGTCCCTAGCAACTCCTTAACACTGCTCTTAAGTCACTAGTTCAGGTTTATGCGTGTTGTCGAAGAGGTATTTTTGTTCGAACAAGCCCATTTATTCTAACCCTAACGTTCCTATTCTATTGCGACAGGATAAAACTCATCCCGTAATCCCATTTGCTGTGATGAGTGGCTTTGCTTGTTTTTCTGGTTGCCTTTGTGGTCTTTTGCCGGAGACTCTTGGACGGCGGACCTTGGAGACATTAGAGGACATGTCCGATTCGTCTCCACATAACAAACTGGACAACAGCGATCAGAGTGAAGAACATCTAACTTCGTCGGTGTAAAACTTCCGTGTCTGGGCACAGGGAGCCCAGACAAGCGACGAGTCTGGTTGTTTATTCGAAATATAAAGGAATGTATGGGAGAATATTGGAGAGTCTTATTATCGTAAACTTATATCATGAAATGTCTGAGTTAAAGCTCAAAATAAATGTAAACCTACCTCACTTACTGTGTATTGTCGTTTCTGTGGCTCTAAATGGCGGATTTGAGCGATTTGGTGAGTTTTGCGTCGACTGTTACTATACGTATAGTATAATAAAAGTCGACACAAAACCCACCAAATCGCTCAAATTCGACGCAAAACCCACCAAATCGCTCAAATTCGCGACATTATTTTGAGCTTTAACTCAGACATTTCATGATATAAGTTTACGATCATAAGACTCTCCAATATTCTCCCTTACATTCCTTTATATTTCGAATAAACAACCAGACTCGTCGCTTGTCTGGGCTCGTTGTGGTCTAGGACCCAGTAACCTTGCCTCCATCTTTGAATTAATTGTTCAATTTAGGAAGGTTGTCAAGGACACCTATACTGAAGTGATCAACAGGTCCTACATTATGTATTTTGAAATCATGACTTTGAAAATAGCTCTTTTATTAAGTGCACGTTTGAACTAAAGGAAAGCGTTTTCATGGCTTCCAAGTTTGATGTTCAACAACGATCAAGTAATAAATTCGTTTGTAAAGACAATTGAAATTCAACCACTGACTCTCGAGATTAGCGTTTAGATGCGTTACCGTGCAACTGCTCGTCACCTTCCTTGTCCGCATATCTGTACGGGCTTTAAGCTTACTCTGTCAAAACTTTTCTAAGTTTTCGCCGGGTTTCCAGTACAATTCGTTGGCCAGTTGTGCCTCAGGGTTAGAAAGGCTTTGTTAAGAGTAAAGAGTATAGCCCCAAAACTACTAGCTTTGTTCAGGTACAGGTTTTGCAATGACAACAGTAGCTACCTTAAGGTTACGAGCTGGACATGTTTCTACATGTAAATCATTTTCAGTGACAATTTTTTATCACGAGATGCTTTGCACAGCATCCATATCCTTGAATTCTTTAGGTGAGAATCACGAGAACGGCCCCTTTCTAAATGTCACACTGCGTGACATTGCGTGACCATGCCCCACCTTGCTGTTCTCAAAATCTGGTAAAGCTTGGCCAATCAGATCACGAGGTTTCGCTCGACTCGTCCAATAGCAAGCCGTAGAGTTGAATAGCTCGGAATGTAAGCAAGGAAGCGTCTGTAGATGATCACGTGACTTGGACGAGCGTGGTTTTGAGTAGTGTTCGAATCCACCATCTTTCTTCGTGCAGATATGATGGGGTTAAGGAGTTTCGCGGCTGGCGTTTGGTTATTCCACTGCTTGTTCATCGTGTTTACACGTGAGTATTGTGTTTGATTATGCAGCTGATGTTAATTTCTCTCTCAAAATTAAGCTAAACTGTTGCTCGTAGTCTGCTGGAGTGGGCAGCTGATGGTAATATTTAAGTCCCACCTATATTTGTTCCCTAAATTATTCGTGATGTGGTAATTCCGCAGTAATAATCATAAGTATGATGCGTTGATCCATTTTTATCCTTGTGCAACAGAGAGTGTCATTCTTCTTGCTTATTTCAAAATTGTTATTTTACGGAAGTCGATCAGGGCAATGACTTCTTTGGAATCAAGCGAACAATTCTTTAACTGTTTATGCGAATACTGCAACATATGTGTATCATAGCAGATCGCAAAATAATGTGCCAACATTTTTGGTTAATTCTTTGTTTTTGCCCAATTTTGGACGAATTTCTTGTTTGGGTCTCGAGTGAAAACGAATTGGTGACTGTTTTCAGTCCTAAAGTGCGACTGAATGTTGATGTTGACTTAACTGCTCGAAATTATATGGTTCTTTCTTTATTTCCGTTTAATTTTGCTGCGTATTTCTTTTTAAATTTATTCTTAAGCGCTGATGTATTCAACATGACGGTACACACTTGTAATAAGCTTAACTGTGTACGTGCCAAATTAATGGAGCTCGCCAAGCAATTGCGATTGTTTGGCATGGCTTCAGCGAAGTCGGGAAATGTTTTTATAGAACGTGAGGGATTGTCTCGTTATTTTTCATATGAAGCCTTTTTTCACCATGAAAGTTTTTTCAGGAACTAGAAAAAATTGTTCGAAAAGTTAGCTAAGAATCGAACATCACTTAATTGAGAAGTATACTGAAATTTTTTCTATGATAACATCGAACCAAATATTTCATTGGACTGGAAAAACATTCTAACTATGGTTTTGTTTATGAGATAAGCTTCCTTGCTTTATTTTTCTTCTACTTCGATATGATACTCGGTGGTTGATCGATCGAGAGAGAAACCCTGCTACTTCAGAAGGTTTTATTTATACCCATATTATTACTCAGCGATATATACCCCTTTCCCGTATCCTGGATGTTTGCCGAGGTGAATAATGTTTTCTTCCTTCTCGCTGTTTGTACCCGTGGCTGTGTTGTGAAACCAGAAACAAAGAAAACATTGTTATTTTTCACAATGTTCCACTCGCGAAGTGCTTTATTAATTTCTGATTTCACTGTCAGTGTCATTCTTTTCTGTTGCCAAGTTGGATCGGACAATATATTGACGAGTTTTCTACTTCTTTGTCTTGAGAATTTGACTTGAGTGTCAGCAACGATAGAATGTTTATTGGATACGTTTTGTTCAGCTATTTATCAAATAGTTGATGTACGGGGTATGACTGTTCGCACGAACCTCGATATACTTTGTAACGATTGAAAACGCGATTGCGTGTATACAGAAATGAAAAACCTGTTGAAATATTTTTGTGCACATGTCATTTCTATCAATATCTCCTAAAATCAATTTTGACAGAGGTTCTGATGATCATTTAAAAATTGTTTGTTGATAAATATACTCTTACTCGGTAAGACCTTTGACTCGCCTAGATGAACAAGAGAATGCTAAGTGTTAGTGCTGAGTAATATGATGGATTTATTGTTTGCCGTTAATGTATAGGTGTCATAGTTGTTTTATCTTTTTCTCCATTATTTACCTTTGTTAACTTAAAATGCATATCTTGAAGGAAATGAATACTTTTTAGAAAAGGACAATTTTAGGGAATCAGTGATACATATGGCCAACTTGGAGTCAGCATAGAAGTCATCTGTATTGCATTTTTTCCTGTTTGGACAGGTCTTCTTGTTGTTTGTGTCTAAAATTACTTGTAACTGATCTTTGTACATAGGGATGCCAGGTGCAGGAAATTCATCTCGTACATGTAACATTCAGGACAACAATTACTGCTACCTCTGTTGTAGGAGATAGTAAGAAGTAAACTACTTGAGGTCTTGTTTTTTTTCATAGTTTCAAAGATACTTTCACTTCAGCATTGACAGTTCTCTCTTTAGTTATGTACGTTGTACCATGCATCTGCATTTATGATGGTAATTGCTTTCAAAATTTTTGTTGTAAAGTTTCCAATTTTTTTTTCACCGTCAATTTACATGAATAAACCATAGAACAGAGGTGAACTTTCATGTTGCGTGGGTTTCATTGTAGGTAGGGTTCCTTGTAATTTGAGAGGCTGTGAAGATGACTTTCAAAATCTTAAATATAAGAATTAAGTCCCAGCTAGTTTTCCATATTTCCTCATATGTTGTCTCAAAATGAACAATAATTTACTTAACTACTATACACTTCATTTAACAATTATTATCATCTTCATGTGAAGTCTAGGCTAAGAAGGAGATTCACCACTTAATATATTGCAGGGTTCGACGTCTCCACTAGCCGGGTAGCCCCAGGCTAGTAAAAATTTGGTCATGCTAATAAAAAACCAAGTTTAATAGCCTGCTGGCTAGTAGAAAAATTGAAAGATCTTATCTGAATAATTAATTTACTTGAAGTTCACAGTTGATTAAAGAAAAACAAAGTTCAAATTTTAATGATAATACCAAGAAAGACGGCAGAAGTCTCTCATCTAATGGTGTCTTTTTTTGTCTTGCATGTCGATCGTAAACATCGCTAGATCCCAGACTCTGCACTTACCAATGTTGCAATGCCTTGCACATATCACCTCACACTTGAAGTGTTTGTACTATTCTTTTTCATTTTAAAAGACCTTGCCAATAAGTTAAGAGGAAGGTTTGTGTGTGTGGGGTTGAAGTAGACCTCGAGGGAAATTGATCTGGGCTACCAAGTTGTGTTTTGGGCGAGTAAATTTTAGGAATCACTAGCCTGGTGCAGGTAACCAGGTGTTGAACCCTGTATTGCAAAAAGTAATATTGTGGGTGAAATTCCTCGTGAATTTTTTCAAAAGCCCTTGTAATTTTCCATGCTTATGTAGTAGCAACTGCAAAAGGAGAGGCTTCAACCTGGCTCACGTCTCCTTAGAATTATGATTTGTGTGTATAGAATGAGTGCATAAGAGATTGACTTGCAAGTATTGAAGACTTGCATAACAATTATGAAAACAACCATAAAAACTATATTATGCAAATTGTTGAACACAAGAGTGGTATTGTCTTAAAGTGAAGAAAGAAATAGCTTGTGACCACTGATCACTTCCTGGAACAGTACAATGGGTGTTTAAAAACAACACACTTTTGTTTCTCTCCTAATGACAAATTCAGATGAAAGGTTAAAGTCAAGGTGTATTTCGAACCTTGCTTGGTTTGCAAATTCAGTGATCAAAGCAAAACCTTTTTTTAAATACTTTCTTGATCATCCCTCTTTCTTTGTAAAGTGATTGATTAAAAATTGTTTATAATGAACCATAGAATTACTTTTTGAGTCCCACTTGCCTTTTCTCCACTACTACTGCTTTTGGTCAACAATCACAAATGGCATTCATGAAAGCTGTTGTATTTTGAAAATTTTTCACTTCACAAAGGACCATTGACAACGATTTGACTGCTTTTAAACACTTACTTTTCACTTTCGTAAACTTTTTCTACAAGAAACTACCGATACTTTGTAATTCTTATTTGAACTAGCACAAAGCAAGCCACGCCAAAAAGTTTATATTCCCGTTTAAAAAAGTTTTGATTCTCATCATGCCATTGTGATTTTTGTAGCATCAAGGCAAGAACCTTTAAAATCCTTCCTTTTGTTCTATTGAGAACAGTTTGCTAATTCAAAGCTTCTGTACTAAGATGACCAGATCTATTTAATACAGATACTATATTACTATTAATTCTTCTACAAGGGAAAGTTTTTTTTTTGTTTCTGTTGTTATTTCAAACACGTAGTAAGGACAAGAGGTAGTTTGAAGACCATTTTGAAATAACTTTGACTGTGAGTAGTGTCACAGCAAACTCAGAGAAAATTATATGTGATCTCTCACGGAAAACGTACACTAACGACTTCCCATTAAACGGGCTGATGTTTTCAACAAATAGATGACCAAGCCATTTGAACGGGGTGACATTCTTGGTGAACAGATGACCGAAGCTGTTCAAACAGATGCAAATTTTTCTGAACGACTGACAAACAGCTTGCAAATGGAAAGCCATTTGAAAATGGAAAGCTGTTAGTGTACGTTTTTCTGTGAGAGGTCACTCATTTTGGGTTGTTTGGCACCAAATGATTTGTTAATAAGACATTTTTCCTTTTTTTTAAGTGTAATGCGTCCAATGGTACTGGATTGTATCTTGTGAGCAAACCTTGAGGAAATTTGCCTGCTAAATTAGACAGGACCAAAGTGGTGAAAAAGTGATTGCCTCGTGCATACTAGTTAGGCAGATGTGTCTGACAGTAGACAGATATATGCCTGTCTGTCAAGACTAGTCTGTGTCAACACAGTGGATCCCTAGGTTATAAAAAACAAAAACTGAAGCTACTCGTATATAAACAAAAAATTAAAATAAATGAAAAGGAACAAGATTTCAAATAGCTAGATACAGCACAATGGTAGGCAAAGGAGAGTCCTTGCTATATTGCACCCAGGACAGATTGTTCTCCAGGTTCTGATGTTGTCAACATGGTACAGATCTAGGGCCTTATTGCAGGGTGTAAAATTGCACCTAATACAGGCGCCAATGCGACTAAATTTTTTACTTTGGCGACTAGAATTTTGAATCACACCTTACCCAGAGATCTAGTGATTGTTGAAGATTTGTAAAGATAAATCTGCAGCAAAGTTCCTCATTAAGATCGTGACGTCACTAGACACCATTTTGGATTTAGGTAACCTATGACATTGTATATGATCCATTTTAGTGTCCTCTTTGTAGCTCAAGTGAATTTAGAGGGCTCATTTTTGATGTTTGTATGATATATATGATAAGCTACCTAGTACAGTGACAGGGTAAAAAATTTTAGTGTGTGTGTGTGTGTGTGTGTGTGTGTGTGTGTGTGTGTGTGTGTGTGTGTGTGTGTGTGGTCACCTAAAGGAAAATTCAGCTGTGGCTGAGTCAGCATCTGAATAAAACACATGATGGAAAGGTTTGGTGGGCACGTACACCAAAAGGCTTTGGCCAA